GGGACAAGATTTAAAAAGGAGGACTATATTTATACTAAAACTGAAATAAAAAGTGTTCTAAATTGAGTTAAAGACTCTATTTCCTTATATTAAAATTTTATGGTAACTGGCTGAATATTAGACCGCTGCTATTAAACCAAATCCAACACTTACTGCCCTCCTCTTTCTACAAGTGTCTGGCAGAGGTATTTTCTTGCATTCCTGTGAGTTGGACAGTTTTCTAATGCAAGCTCAAAATCTTCTATTGCTTTGTTCAGACTTCCTTTTGTTGCATATCTAGAGTCATGAAACAAAATTAGAGGAATTTATCTTGTGAGGTATTCATAATATTGTTCACATTTACCTTGCAAACATTCCTCAAATCCTTAATTCACTTACAGTGCTCCACGAGCTACCAAAGCTTCCACATTTTGTTTATCTATTTCCAGAGCTTTATTGTATTCATTCATAGCATCCACATGGCGTCCAACCTTAAAATAATCAACTCCAATCTTCACACTAAAAAAGACATTTGTAAAGCATCACAAACACTTCACAGAATATCTAAATAAAATGTTAGTGTGGATAATTTTAAAAGCAAATGTCCTCAAATTTGGGAAATATTTAGTTTTCAAAATACTCTCAATATACCTAAGAAGCAGTATGCCTTTGGATACTTCATAACATATTTATGAAACTATGATATCAATATATTAATTTTGAAAAAAATTGGAAATGCTGGATAAAGCTTAAGTCTGTTATGTATACAATGTAAGACTACTTTTAAAAAACTAATGTTAAAAGGATATCATTTTAAAGAACTTTTGGTCTTAATAATGATTAAGTATTCTTGCCTTACTCTGACCTTAGACTAGACAGATAATGGAAATTGTTGAAAGAGAGTCTTCATACCATTTTAAAGCCCAAGATGCTGATTGTTTCTTTCTCAATGCAGAAGCAAAATCATCTTCAGAGAAATTTTTGCTATTAAAGAAAAGTTAAACCAGAAATACTTTTTAAATAACTATACTTCACTCTGCCTGACAGGCACTCAACACTCAAAGAGATAATCCCAAGCAAGAAATCTGTACTTCATTTACATAGCAAAATCCTTGCAGTGTCAGACATTACTATTATTGTTAAACAGTATTTTTCTTTAGCATATATATAAAATTCTTATAAAAAGTTTCTCACCCTTCTCTACTTGGTCTCATGGCACACATTTAATCACTGATAAAAAGAGTCCAATCCAAGAGAAGATGGAATCACTTGGTTTATTCAACCTTTGGCATAGTCCTGCTAGTAGGCTTAGTATGGTCAAGTATGTCCTTCAGCTATGAAGCTCCTGAACTTAGCACCACTCTCCTCACTACCTAAGAGAATAATACTGATTTACCTTTGCAGGCCTCTCATTAAAGATGGTGGATTAGATTCATCTATTCCTAGTTTTTCTAGAAGGAATTCAACTATGCCTGGATTAGCAAATCCCAAGGAACTCTGCATGATATTTTCATATGAATCCAAAGAATTGCTATTTAGTTCAATACTCCTCCTTTAAAAAAAAAACAAACACAAGAAATATAGAAATGACAACTACAAATTGCACATCCCATTTCTATTAACAAAATAACATCATATGAAGGTTAAATATCAATATCTCTTTGTACATGAAGGTGTGGCAATATTATATGGTTCCTTTTACCAAGTTAGAAATAATTTAAGAGTTATAAATATCAAATGAACACATTTTGTAATAAGAGAAATTAAAATTCCCCTTTGTTGTCAAAAGTTTGACAAAATTTGCAACTTTTTAAAACCAAGCAACTTTTGTAATGAACTGTTGTTGAAATAATATGGATAAATTACCTGTAGTACAAAGGGAGCTCTTCAGCACTAATTACACCTAATTTAATACCAGACAGATGTGGTGGAAGAGATGAGCTATACAGAGATACTGCCAGCTTTTCATGGTATCTGTCAATATCCTTGATTCCAGCTTAAAAGAGAGAGAACTAAGCTGATTAGTAAGAAAATGTAAACTAACATAAAAAAAAATACTTCCCAAACACTACCCTCATTAGACTTTATTTTCAAAATTAATAAAAGCAGAAATTCAACAACTTTTACTTTTTATTAGTATGATGAAACTCATCACCTCGAATGATGTCGCCAGTTTGGTAATAAGATAAAGGATCTCCGTGGTTACTATGAGAAGGTACATCTCTTAATGGACAAAGAGCCTGCAATGAGAAACATTTAAAATACCAGACATTTCAATATTTGGTGTGAACTGTGTCTTCTTTTATCTTAGTTGTTCAGTATGGACAGCTAATAGTGCACAAGACACTGAAAAACAATTAATACCATAAAGTCTAAATTTCAATAAGGATTTTAGCTAAAAGTAAATTCTATGTCTAAACACAGTAAAATTTGTTTTCTGGTTCAGTTCAAAAACTCACCATGGGTGAAACGGCTCACACCTGTAATCCTAGCACTCTGGGAGGCCAAGGTGGGAGGATTACTTAAGGCCAGGAGTTAGAGACCAGCCTGAGCAACATAATGAAACCCTGTCCCTACAAAGAATTTAAAAAGTTAGCCAGGGTGGTGGCTTACACCTGTAGTTCCAGCTATGCAGGAGGCAGAGGTAGGAGGATTGCTTGAGCCTAGGAGTTTGAAACTGCAGTGAGCTATTACAATGCCACTGCACTCTAGCCTGGACAACAGAGCAAGACTCTGACTCAAAAAAACAAAAAACTCACGAAAACTTCCATTAGTGTCAGGAACCAAGTATAATTATGGATGACAAAAAAAGATATTTTGCATGCATCAAATATAAAACTAAAATTTGTCTAGAAAGTATAGTGATTCCAATGAAAATGAAATGTGCATTCTCCAAAGTTTTGTCCATTATCCAGTCTGTGATACCTTCTGCTTTGCTTCCTTTTACCCGCCTTAAAAGACAGCAAATATTCAATCTTTTATAGTGACAAATTAGTTCTAATTCAGGACTATTCATCTTGGGCAAAGTATCTTCTCAAAATATACAAGCTACTTACATTTAATTATTATAAATACATAAATGACAGTTTTCTTTAAATTATTCACATGCCAGTTATTTAATGCCAAATGTTAAATAATTAAGACTACGTATGTTCAACTAGAAGAACTTAGTCCAGATACCAATTAAAGTCACCATATCTATTGATATCTCTTTGAGTATTTAAAAAAGGACACTGCCCCTGCCAACCAAGGAGTCCAAAAAACTCCCAAACCCAGAAATGGAAGAAGAAACTGTGTAAATAATTCTTCCATACGTGATTTTTTAAAAAACTTTACTTTTCTTGAATTAATATTTAATTCCCAAAAGCATCTTGGCAAGTATATTTAAGCTCAACTGGATGCAAATAATTTCTTGCCCTGAGATAACTTTTCAAAAATAGAAGCAATCCAAATAGACAAAAAGTAACTTACAGAGATTTCTAAGTGGGATATATCTCTCATGATGCCACTTCCTAAACAGATCAACACCATGAAAAAACCAAATTCCCGAATGGAACTAATTCTTCCAATAACTATATCACCACGCTCAATATCTCTGAAAAACAGCTCTCTCCGATCCATACTAGGTATCTCCATGAATTGCTCTAAAGGTGGCATGACTGCATAATGATCTGAAAAAATAATTAACAAAATCACTAACAATAGTGCTGAGTTCCGTTCCATTTGAAGTACTGTTAAAACAAACTGCAAACCCGCAATTTTAAAAAGATATTAAAGCTAAACTTACCTTCGTTGTCTTCATTAATTTCAGAAGTTGAAGATGCATCTGATTTCCAGGAAAGCGCAAAAAGCAAATCCGCTTTTTTAGAGATAAATTTTTGTATTTCTATGTTGTCAACTCTCTTCTCTTTCCTTAAAAAGAAACAAAATTTATAAATGTTGGTTTACTTACAAAGCCTTTTTAAGTACAAGCTTCTACAACAGCTTTCATCGCACAATCCACTCCATCCTGAGCTTCAGGGCTTACATCCTTAGAGAAAAAGTTTTAACTTGGCATTCCCTCATTCACCAACCTGGAGGTGGGGGACAGGGAAACTTAAAAAAAGTGACTCCTCCAGCTCCAGACACGAAAACCCAAGGAATTTTACTTAAAGAATCTGTGACTCTGCTAAGCATTACGAGAGAAAACGTTCAACCCGCATCCCGCACTGCACACCCGAGGTGTGCGGAGCCCTCCGCCGAGCCCTGCACAGCAGCGCGCAGTCCTCACGTGCTCTCTCGCGGCCGCAGCTCCACTCGCGGAAGGAGCCGCCACGCTGCGGTCGCCGAGCCTCGAGCTGCGTCCCCTCCCCCAGACTCGCAGCGGCGCAGCTTTCTCCTTACCTGCCCAGTAACTGGTGCTGGGGTGGCGGGCCCCGGCTGGGCTCGGCCGCCGACCCTAGGAGGCTCCGGAAGTGTGGATTGTCCTGCTGTTCGCTCCGGAGCAGGGAGAGTAATGACGACCCATGGCAATTCAGCGACTGCCGCAGGAGGTCCCGGTCCATGGCTAGAGACTGCTGGGCTCGACGGCCGGTGGGCTACGAGCCCCCGGTTCCGTACTCGAGCCGGGCGGTCCAGGAGGCCGAGGAAGCAGCCTGGAGGCCGCGGGAAGCTCACAGCACCATCTCCTACATGCTTGCCTCCCGGAAATGTTATGGAGCCTCCCCCAGCGGCAGCGCGGCGGAGCTCGGCGTCGGTCTCGCGAAACCGAGTGAGACTACGGAAGCCCAAAGGAGCGAGCTAAGACTCTCCCAAACTGAGGGCGGTCTAGGACTTCGAGGTTGGGATGTGTGCGAGAAGCTTGCTTTCTAAAATTTACGTGGCGTCGTTATTACGTCGAAGTAGTCTGAGCTCTAATCGAGGGTAATTAATGATTCCTTCTCATGTTCACTGAGGCGTTTCTAAGTGCCAGTGAGAATCCAGATGAGTCGCACCAGGTTCTTTCCTCAAAGTACACCCGCATAAATCAGTACCTGTGTCAACGGGGGGCATAGCCACATTGAAACGGCTCCCCTGGGAAGGTTTCCTGGTAGGCTAAAGGGAAGAAGGAAGAAAGGACACTGGCATTTGTTAAGCAACTGGAGTTGTGTTCTCCATCTATACCACATTCAGTGAGTTTAGAGTTATAAAATCAGAATGGCTTTAATGTCTAGAGATAGACATATGCCATTCTAGTTTTATAATAAATAATATATGTATGTAATTCTTTATCTTAGTGGTGGTTCAAAATTTAGTGTCCATAAGACTTACCATATAATGATTTGTGCGCAAAAATCGATTACTTATGGATACTTCAAGTGATTTTCAAAGGTAATTTCAACGTGGCTTCCGCTCCCCCCTTACTTAATGACTTGAGAACCTAGCCACTGTGTCTCACTGTATTCTCATTTTAGAGAATGAGAAAACAGGCCCAGAGAGTCTCAATAAATTGCTCAACTTTACCCAGCTAGTAAGAGGCTAGAGTTAGGATTCCAATCTAGGTCTGATAGATCTTGACAGGCAGAGTTGATGGACAGAATTTTATCATAATAAAAGGTCTAACTAACCCTAATTTTGAGATAATATGCCTTTGTTTTATTCTAATATAAAATTTGCACCATTCAAATATGTGTAGTTTAGTATAGGCCTATTGAACAGAAATAAATGGTAGCAGTGAGTCTTCCCCCTTTCAGGCCATGTGTCTGTCTTTGAGGAGATCACTATGCCCATAACCATCTTACCACCTGTAGAGAAGACCTAATCCAGAACATAAAGGGTGCCTCCACACTATTTTGTGGAAAATTCAGGCAAATAGATAAAAGAGTTTACTAAGGCTTGAGAAAATGCAACAAAGAAGAGTATAAGTTTAAAAGGTAATAAATTTCAAGTCACCATAGGCATATCAAGAAACTTTAATAAGTTGGTACAGACTGATTTGTGTTAAGCCGTGGTAGCTCTAAAGAATTGTTGTTTTTAGGAAAGGATGCTGTTACTGAAAAGGAAAACTGACCACTAAAAATGATCTGTGTAGACATCTTGATAAATATGTGATTTTGGTTTGAATCAATTTGTCATCAAGGACTTAATTATTTGGAGGGATTGAGAAACCAGTATCTGAGAACAGGATGCCAAATAGTGACACTTAGCCTGGGAGTATCACCTTGTAAGGCCATTTTTGAGAAGCGCATGCTTTCATCACTGTCAGATCTGTCTGTTCTTTCTAATTCCAACACTAGAGTAATCCACAGCCACCCCATATCTTGAACATCTAAACTGGCCATGAAAATAGACAGCAACTGCTTTTAGAGGGTAAGCAGAATTCATCAAGAGTGACATTTATTGGATGCTTGCTGCACACAAAGTAGAGACAGAAGAAGTGAGCTTTAAGCAAGTGTACTCAAAACTCAGGTTGGGGTTTTCTACCTTTGGTTAGTGCTGGTCTTATATGGAGGTAGCCATATTAGTTAGGTGCTAAAGGCAACTGTGTTCTTCACTTCTTAAATACTACTCTCACTGCAGGAGATAAAGCCTTGTATAGTTATAGATGCATTTAAATTCATTTTCTGCTGGAACAGATACCCGTTTGACTTTGAAGGATAGGGGCAGAACACTGGGTCTTTTACATAGCACTGAAGGAGGTGAGGAGAGAAAGTAACAGGACTAGTTTTGTTTCTCATTTTAGAGAAACCAGTCCTACATATGGGACTTCTCAAGGTGGGCACAGAAAGAAAATACTTTCTTCTTTTTCACTTCTTGCTTCACCTTTCAAAAAACAACTTTAAAAATCTTTCCCAAGAAACTTTTCTAGATTAAGCAATATGAATAATTAAATGAAAATACTGGGGTAAGGGGCAGGGCAGAGCATATGGTGGGAGAGAAATAAATCAGAACATCCAAAACAGTCAGAACTTTGATGTCTGGCTTCTGGGCCTATTTTTATTGTGATGTTAAATTCCATTTCTAAATAAATACATATTTACATCCTTTAACAAACACTCTGGACCCTGGAGATATAAAGATGAAGAAGATATAGATAGATAAAGACGAAGAAGATGATGGAGATATAAAGATGGTTCTTGAGTGGCTCACAGTACAACAGAGGAGTAGACATAAAAAGAAACAAATATGGCACAGTGGTAAGTATAATACTATTTTTGTGGACACCTACTAGGGTGTTTGCTTAAATCCTATTTTCTGCCAAGTAAGGTTGTGTGAATTGCTGGGGGTGAAAGAAATGATGGGAGGCAAGTATATGCAGTTCAGGCAGAGAGGGCAGTATAATTAAAGAAGTAGGGATGTGAAGAGCAAGATGCATTCTGTAGACAGCGACTTTGACCTTGAGGTAAGTAGGGATATTTTAATTATAGACATTTTGGTTATGTAAGTGTGTCACTTCAGGTAGGCTACAGATTGGTAGGAAGAAACCCCCTGCATCCTTTGCACACACACACATATACACACATATACAAAAACAGTAAATTCCTGATTTATTTGAAAAGAACACAGAAACTTAGATGAAGCAAGGTAGTCGCATAAAGCAGTGGCAGAAGTAGCATATCTCAGTGTAGCTTTTCCTGGATCTTCCATTTCCCCAAGTAAAATCTGCTAGGGACACCATCTACAAAAGATAAAGTCTTTTTTTAATCTTAGAAACTTTTATATTACCAATTATGAAGGACATACAAATAATCTATGACTTTATAAGAAATATTTGTAGGCAGTTTCCTTTTGATTCTCGACTTGATGCAGACAATTTCAGCAAGGTCTCTTCCTCATCTTGGGATAAGGATGAGATGTCGGGGAGGGTGGGTAGGACATAAGACCCAGAGGTCTGTTGTGTTACCTCTAACTTTAATTTTTCAGCATCTTTTTAATTATTCTCCTCTTTTTTAAAAAAAAAAACAGACTTTATTCTTTAGAGCAGTTTGGGGTTCACAGCAAAAGTGGAAGATATAGAAATTTCCCTATGTCTCCTACCGCCACACAAGGATAGCCTACCCCATTATCAACATTTTCCACCAGAGTCATACATTTGTTCCAATTGATGAACCTACACTGACACATCATTATCATACAAAGTCCATAGTTTACTTTAGGTTTCACTATTGGTATTGTGCATTCTATGGGTTTGAACAAATGTATAATGTCATACATTCACCATCATGATATATTGCATAGTAGTTTCGCTGCTCTAAAAATCCTCTGTGCTCTGTCTGTTCTTCCTTCTCTCCTTAGAATCTGCAACCACTGATCTTTTTACTGTGTTCATATTTTTGCCATTTCTAGAATCCTATATAGTTGGGAATCATACAGTATGTAGTCTTTTAAGACTGGCTTCTTTGACTTAGTAATATCCATTTAAATTTCTTCCATATCTATATGGCTTGATAGCTCATTTCTCTTTAGTGCTGAGTAATATTCCATTTTCTGGATATATAACAGTTATCCATTCTCCTGCTGAAGGATATCTTGATTTCTTTCAAGTTTAAGCAGTTATGAGCAAAGCTGCTATAAGCATTGATGTCCAGGTTTTTATGTGAACATAGTTTTCAGCTCCTTTGGATAAATTCCAAGGAGTGCAATTGCTGGACTATACGTTAAGAGTATGTTTATTTTGTAAGAAAGCACCAACTCTTTTCCAAAGTGGCTGTACCATTTTGCATCTTCACCAGCAATGAATGAGAGTGTTTCTGTTGCTCCACATCATCACTGGCATTTAATATTACCAGTGTTCTGGATTTGGGTCATTCTATTAGGTGTGTAGTAGTATCTCATTGTTGCTGCAATTTGCCTTTGCCTGATTATATTTGATGTGGAACATCTTTTCATTAGCTCATCTTCCATCTGTTTATCTTCTTTGATTGTGTCTGTTAAGGCCTTTTGGTCCATTTTTTAAGAGTTACTAGTTTTCTTGTTGAGTTTTAAGAGTTTTTTGTATTTTTTTTTTTTTTTGGTAAATATTTTCTCTTAGCCTGTAGCTTGTCTTTTTATTGTCTTGATGGTATCTTTTTCACAGTAGAAATGTTTAGTTTTAATGAGGTTCAGCTTATCAGTTCTTTCTTTCATGGATCATGCCTTTGGTATTGTATCTAAAAGTTATCACCAACCCCAAGGTCATCTAGATTTTCTCATATGTTGTTTCCTAGGAGTTGTATAATTTTACATTTTATGTTTAGATCTATGATCCATTTTGAAGTACTTTTGTGAAGGATGTGAGACCTGTATGTAGATTCACTTTTTTGCATGTAGATGTCCAGTTGTTCCAGCACCATGGGCTGAAAAGACTATCTTTTTTCCATTGTGGTACCTTTGTACCTTTATCAAAGATCAATTGACTATAGGTGGGTCTATTTCTGGACTCTCTGTTCTGCTCTACCAATCGGTCTATTCTTCTGCCAATACCACACATTGTCTTGATTACTGTAGCTTTATGGCAAACCTCAAAGTTGGGTAGTGTCAGTTCTCCTACTCTATTTTTTTTCCTTGAAAAAAAAATCGCTTTTTGTTGCTTAAGCCAGCTTTAGTAAATGTATGGGTTGGAACGAAGAGTCTTGACTAATACAATAAGAAGCTACTAACTAGGAGTCTCTTCCCTTTCTACTCTGCTGTTTTAAAAATGAAGAAACAAATATGAAAAGGTTAATAAATGTTTTTGTTGTTAAAAAACTAACTTTAGAATATATGTTGTCTAACTGTATATGTAATAGTCTTTCTACTATGCCATGCAGTTTATAGGGTTAGCTGAAGCAATGCTTTTTAAGGATGTAGTTTTAAAATACATATGTATGAAACTTATTTTTAAAATATTGCGATACAGGTCAAGTATCGCTTATCTGAAATGCTTAGGACCAGAAGTGTTTTGGATTTGGGATGTTTTAAAGATTTTGGAATATTTGCATATGTATAATGAGATATCTTGGGGATGGGACCCAAGTCTAAACACAAAATTTATATATGTTTCATATTTACCTTATACACATAGCCTGAAGGTACTTTTATGTTTCCCTTGAGGACACTGAATAAATCATGTTAGGCACCTGTGTTTTGACTGCAATCCATCACATGAGGCCAGTTATGGAATTTTCCACTTTTGGTGTCATATTGACATTCAGAAAGTTTTGGATTTTGGAGAATTTTGGATTTCACATTTTTGGATTAGGAATGCTCAACCTGTGTTGGTTAACTTTATGTGTCAACTTGACTGAATCAGGGGATGTCCAGGCAGTTGCATTATTCTCGATGTGCCTGTGAGGGTGTTTCCAGATGCAATTAGCATTTGAATTGGTGGATTCAATAAAATAGATTGCCTAACTGATGTGCGCAGGCATCATCTGATCTGTTGAGGGCCTGAATAAAACAACAGACAAAAGACAGAGGAGGAATTTACCCCTTAATTCCCTGCCTCACTGCTTTAGCTGAGATATATCATTTCATCTTCCTCTGGTCTCAGACTGGGATTTTCATCATTGACTCCCCTCATTATTAGGCCTTTGGACTCAGACTTAATTACACTACCAGTTTTCCTGGGTCTCTGGCTTGCAGATGGCAGATCATATTTTTCTCAGCTTCCATAATCCTTTATAAATGTGTAAGCCAATTCTTCATGAACTATATGTATGTATCTCCTATTGTCTCTCTGCTGAAGCCTGACTAATACAAAAATATCCATTATTATGTTAATATCCAAAGATAGCCTTGAACCTCTTTTCCAATAATGGAGCCACTTGGTTTCAATCCTGCATGTGGTTCAAGAGGGTTAGATTACCGATTTGCTACCACATAAAGGTAGTATGTGTGTCCTAGTCAACATTCTATTCAAAGGCACCCTGAAGTGACTCAAGGAAGAATGAGGAACACTAAAAGTATGGCTAGGTCAGCCAAAAAGATATCCCTATTACTGAATGAATAATTCAAACTACAAGGTCTTCCAGTAAGAGTTGGTACATCTTCCTTCATTCCAATAGTCTTTGTTTGAAAGGATTCCACTACCTTCTCTCATTCTTTTTTATTTCAAAGACCAACACCTCTCAAGAAGAAAAACAAGAAAAACATTGTCAGTTTAATCCACTTGAGGGTGCTATAAGATCATTGTGGTATTCAGTTTTATCCCTTTTACCAGAAAACCTGCCAACTAAACAAGGATTCAGAGATGGAGAACTGTGACCTCTCATATACAGTCATTTTAGAATAATTATGCCTTTAACACCTTCTCCATCTTTTAATGATGTTAAATGTTTTGAAGATATTATTTTAATGTAAATCAGTTCATATCTCATTGTCCAAGACTGATTAGCTTAGTAATTTTGAGTTTCTTTTTCCAAGAAGAAAGATCACTGATTTTAGTTCCAATGTAGAACAATTAGTTCTGAATAGATATGGAGGTGAATATTGTACAACTCCCAGCCAGAGGGCAGAGTGGTGGTGCATTTACATCATAATCCACATATGATGTATGTGGCACTCCTGGAGATGTGCAATGCTTGACCATATGTAGTGACCATCTGCAGTGCTAATCTCAGCCAGCATTTCTTCAATGTTTGTGTTTGTTTACAAAAAAGACTAGGAAATAGAAAGAGGATATTTCAGAATAAATCTATTATGATTGTTGGGAAAGAACAGTTGAAATACGTGTGCAATACTGATATGGAAGAGGTTAGTGTGTTTACCTTCAGGTGCTTGGTCATAAAGATACAACCCCACATACAAGCACACATGCATTTCTTAGAATCTTAGATTCTTATCTTGTGGCAATTTCTCAGAATACTATTCCAGAGAACATGTCAGGATTATCATCAGATGAATTGAAGATTTTGTATTTTTTGTTAATATATCAATACATTCTAGATTGCTTTGAAACCCATTTTTTTTTTTTTTAAGAGACAGGGTCTCACTTTGTTGCCCAGTCTAGAGTGCAGTGGTGCAGTCATAGCTCACTGTAATCTTGAACTTCTGGGCTCAAGCAATTCTCCTACCTCAGCCTCCCATGTATCTGGGACCACAGATGTGCACCACTATATTCAGCTAATTTTTAAAACAATTTTTTGTAGAGATGGGGGTCTCACTATATTGCTTAGGCTGGTTTCAAACTCCTGGGTACAAGTTATCCTCCTGTCTCAGCCTTCCAAATTGCTGGGATTACAGGTGTGAACCACCATTGATGCCCATTTTAATGCACTTTAAACGTTTCCTTAAAATGAGAGTAATTGGTTACCTTTTAATTATTAAACAGTAATTTTTAAAAAATGTCATCGATGGAAGCACCGAAAGAGAATTTCAGGGAGTAGAAATGTATTAGTGGTTTAATATATTACCCTCCTTAGTGGAATTCATTGGATTGATACGGTATATCAGGGAAAGGATTTAACTTTGATCCTAGACATTTTAGATGTGGCATTTGATTATCTGTAGACATAGTGATCAGATTGTTAGATGCATTAATTCATTCAACAAATATTTGTTGAGGATTGGGCACTGTTTTAGAGGTTAGGGATATAATAGTGAAAAAGTGCACCAAGATTCCTGCCTTCATGGAGCTTATTATCTGGAGGGAGACAGATAATGAGCAATAAACATAGTAAATAAGTAAATCATATAGTACATATATTAGAAGGTGATACGTCCTAAAGATAAAGAAGTAAATCAGGGTAAGCGGCATTGGAAGTGCAAAGAGATGGGTGTAGTAATTTTAAACCAAATCATTAGGGCAGATCTCATTGAGAAGTTGACATATAAGCGAAGACTTGAAGGAGATGAAGAGTTAGTTATTCAACTTGTTTGAGAGAAAAGAGTTCCAGCAGGGCAACAACCAGTGCAAAAGTCGTAAGACAGAAAGGTATTTAGTGTATTTGAGAAATAGCAAGGAAGACAGTGTGGCAGGAACAAAGTGAGTATAGAGGTACAGAGTTTTGTAGGCCATTGCAAGAACTTGGCTTTTATTATTAGTGTTTGGGAGTAGCTTCAGGGTTTTAAGCAGAAGGATACATTATGACTTTCATTATAAAAAGATCATTTTGGCTGCTGTATGGGCTAGAATTGACTACATACCTATTGCTCATAAAAGATGGGAGATAGCTTTATAGAAGGTTAAATATCTCTTCTTACTTCATAGGTAATATAATTTCATTTTAAAACTTATCTGTCATTGCATAGAATGAGAATATGAAGTTTCAATAGCTACAAGAAGACTAAAAGTGTGAGCAACTATTATTTTGAGATAGATAGGTATCATAGTGGAAAGAGCTTTAGCCCAAAAGTCCCAGGTGTATTTTGAGGAAATCATCTAATCTTCCATGCTTCTCTTGTCACCTTTAATACTAAGGGGTTAGATGCAATGAACTTTGAGACACAACCCTTAACATCCTCTGTTCTATGATGAAAACAGTCCAAGTGCTAAAACTGCATCTCTCTCTTTAAGCCACTGTGTTTCTTTTTCTATGAAATCAGTATGAAGTTATTTTCCTATTGTATTGCAGTGCTGGTAAGTGTGGCTTCCTACTGTGGCTGGTCTCTTTAAGTGAATGAGATTCTTTATAGTTCCTTTAGTTGCAGTTAGAAAAGGGACCAGCCGTAGAAGTCACAGGGAGAGGTCACTGTTAGGAAGTCTCAGTGTGGCAGTTCCATGAGGTAGATTGCATCCTGAGCACTGATCCTCAGTTTTCCAAGTGCAGAAATCCAAGTCAGATTGGCTTGGCAGAATGATCCATACTAACCGAACTAACTAGACAGTGATTTAGAAATCACATTGATGATGTGTTAATGGTGAACTATAAATGCTATGTGAATCAGAAATTCATATTTAGTATCAATATATTCTTCATGGAAAGCCAACTTTAGTCAGAAGCTTGTTTGTGAACCTAAAATAAGAGCAAAACAGTCTTTTGGGTGATAATAATGACTAATTCCATCAAACTATGTAATCTTATGCATTCATTTCCTGTATATGGGTATTTCTGCCGAGGCAATCAAATACCCTGCTTACCTGGGCACTCCTCCCTTGTTCGCCCTCTCTGACTTCCCTTATCTCTCTCTTTATCTCTCTCCATATATATACATATATATATATATGTATATGTATATATACATACGGACAAATGTGTATTATGAATATAACATATATGCATGTATACATAATGAGAATATGACTGCTGATGTATGTGTGTGTATTTGAAAACTGCCTTCAAATACAGTTTTCAAAAATTTTTAAAAACTTTCTTAAAATGAAAGCCCAATATATAAACAGATGACAGCATAACTACTCTTGTTGAAGCAGTAACAGGAAGAAGATATTGAGAACTTAACCCATTAATTTCTTTTCCTCTTCATCCCCACCCCCTTCTCCCTCACACCTCCAACCAAATGATGGCTGGAGAACCTTTAAGGAATATCTGAGATTTGTTAACAGATTACTTCTTTTGGCAGGGTTCTATGTCACTGATTATGTTTCTTTCAGCTTAAGTTGTAATTGTATGCTAATCATTCTTCTCTATGTCTATGTTCTAGTCATTCTGAAATTATGCATTTCTCAAATTCTCCACCCACCTACATTTACCTTCTCTTCTGCTTGTAATCACTCCACAAATGATGTTTCTTATTTATTATGCTTTGATCTTTTCTGGTTTCACTTTCTTAGAAGGCAATCACATTTCCAAGTTCAGGAGGACTCCTGGGTTGTTTGTCCAAGTAAATTCATTATAAAGGCCTTCATGATCTGGTCTCTGCATATGTTTCCTTACTCATTTTCAACTCTCTTCATCAATATCAGAATTCAACTGCATACATTTTCTGATATTTTCTAGGTACTCCCAAGTTTTCCTTACCACATAGCTTTTGTACTTGTTTTCTAAAATACTTTTCCCTCACTTTTCTTTAATTTCTTTTTATCTTTGGGTCTTAGCTTATAGGATGTCTCTTCTCTTTCACAGAACTCCATTTATTTCCATCATACATTTATCATAATTTATTTTCTTATTGATTATCTGTATTCTGCACAAAAATATAGGATCTATCAAGGCAGGACCATATCAATTTTGTTCATGACTTTGTACTTTAACTAGCTCTTTAGCTCAATGCCTGGCACATATCAAATACCAAATAAATACATTTGAATGAATGAATGTGTATAAAATTTTACACATAGATATCATACCCATTTAGAGTAAAGGATGGGACACCCTTCATATATATTCCTCAGTTATATACATAGCTGAGCAAGGCTTCATTAACTAGGTTGGATGGAAGGGCACTGGAAATAAACTCCAGTTATTGCCAATGAGACCACCTGTTGGCATGGGAGGCAGTTATGGCAAACAAAACATATCATTTGGAAATTATAGCAACAGACAAAGGGTGGTATACCAAAAATGTAGCCCCTATTGCAAGTTCAAACTGTAATAAAAGTGCTTTCTAGACAGGTGCAGGAAGCATGGTGACTGGATTCTGCAGAAACAGGTAGGTTGATTTTTTTTTTTAGCTTGATTTTAGAGGAGGTTTGGATAAAAATCCAAAACTTAAATATGAGTTAATGATCTGTCAACTAAAAAAGCAAATGTAACTTTCTATTTTACTCCTTTTATGCACCCCACTTCTCTACAAGATTCACATTTGGTTTTTGTCTTTAACAGTTGTTGATTTCGTTGTATCTATGACTAGGGATAGTCTCTCCGTGGTATTTTGTGCTTGCAGGACAAATATCTGCATATTTGTTGTATTAGTCAGGGTTCTCCAGAGAAACAGAACCAATGGGATATGTATGTGTATATTTAAAAGATTTATTTTAAGGAATTGGCTCATGCAATCATGGAGGCTGGCAAATCAAAGTATACAAGGTAGACTGACAGGCTGGGGACCAAGGAAGAGCCAATGCTGCAGTTCAAACCTGAAGGCTCTCTGCTGGCAGATTTCCCCTTGCTTGGGGGAAGTCAGTCTTTTGTTCTTTTCAGGCCTTCAGCTGATTGGATGAGGCCTAACCCAGATGAGGAGGGTACTCTGCTTTACTCAAAATCCATCAAGATTTAAATGTTAATCTCACCCAAAAACACCCTCACAGAAACATCCATAATAGTGTTTGAGCACATATATCTGGGCTCATGGCCCTGCCAAGTTGTCATAAAGTTAACCATCACAATTGTGTGCTACTTCATTGCCACTTTTTAAGACAATGAAGCCTATTTGGAGTAGTACAGCCCCATGATGGCAAAGCAGCTGGAAATCACATTGAGGAACAGGTAAGCAATGGAGAATGTGTAGAAATTCTGCTTCATACAATCTACTGGGTTCTATACGTACCCATACTCAATATCAGTCTGAGTTGAATCATCATTTTGTACTTATATCAGAGTTATAAGGTGAATTGTAGAGATTTCATAGTCTTTTGGTCTAAAATTGCTTTAATTTCACTTAAAGGCCTTTGTCAACAGAATTTCTAAGCTTGCAATGCTTTTTTATTTTACTGCTTCCAAGATCTAGAATTTAAAGATCTTCTTTATTCTCCATGGTGATTTCTGAAAAATAACTTCCATGTTGAGCACTAAGTAAAAAATTATCCCTCATCATAGATCATTGACTACAGGTAACTTTCTTTCTTGAGGCATCAAACATCACTCCTAATTGTAGCAGCCTAGAGTTTTGCTGTTACCCATTTTATGCCCATTTCTGTGGCCACATTTCAAGTCTTCTCCCCAACAATAACATACAAAACAAACATCATCAGGTTAGGAAAGTTTTTTTGGCTTTGTTTTTGTTGTTATTTTTTCTTGTGACTTTTCCATTGGCTGGTGATCCAGAATTTATTGTGTTTATTTTCATTTATTGTGTTTATTTTCATTGGCATCGCGGCAACTAACGTAAATATGAGGTTTGCAATTAATGCATTCACCTAATGTTTATTTGAATATCTAACTTGTTCTAAGCAGCTCTAGGTGCTGGGAATTCAGTGATAAACAAATCATCAAAATATCCCTATTGAAAAAAGGTAGCATGAGTGGTTATTGCTGATATTTTGCTTTCATCCTGAATAATCTTCCTTAATTCTAAGTTTATCGTCTTGGATATGAAAGAAAAGTAGATTATTTTTAATAGCTTTCATCATATCCATAGAATAAAAGAACTCTTTTTAAAACTTAAAGTTTTAGGGAAGAAAAAAATTCACAGTAGTATAGTGTAATTTCACAATAATAAATACCATCACATTGATTATCTCTCAATAATTAAAATATTTCCAGGCCTTTGTCATTGCCTTATATTTCTGGCCAAATTAAAGATAACTCATCCCTGAACTATATAACAAAAAAAACTTCTTTAGAGTTCCTACAGTTAGTAGTATAACTATATCAGTGAAATTTTTATACTATTTACTAGGAAATTCATTTTAACGAATATTCTGGATTTACAAAATCTCTTTTCTCAGTGCTCATGAAGAAAGAGAGTTGAATTGTGAGACAAGTGTTCTTATAGATTCTATTAAAAATGATCAAACAAAAATATATTTTATATAGGAAATACTGAGTAAATTATTGCTAAGTAATTAGTACTAAGTGATATTGCTACAGAGATTTTCAGGGTGATCTGTCTTTACAAACCTGTTTTTTTCAAACATTGATGCCTTATCTGTTCTCAGAATTCACATGTGACACTTTTTGGCATGCTTATCCATTTAGATTTTATAGCCTTTTAATTTTCCAAAAACTCTATCATAGGTGTTCATTTCAGTTTCTCCCAAGATACATGCAAGACCCATGTTCACCTGGGGTAGTAACACTTCTTCTGTAAGGCTAGCCCCACCATATCACATGTTAAGTCTTAGAGGGAACTATGAAAAAAAATTTTTTTAATTATTTTTTAGAGACAGGGTCTTGTTCTTTTGCCCATTCTGGAGTGCATTGGCACAATCATGGCTCACTGCAGCCTCAAACTACTGGGCTCAAGAGATCCTCTTGCCTCAGCCTCCTGAATAGTTAGGGCTACAGGTACCCACCACCACACTCAGCTATTTTTCTAAAATTTTTTTTAACCAGGCTGGTGTTGAACTCCTGGCCTCAGCCTCCCAAAGTGCTGAGATTTTACGTGTGAGCCACAATGCCTAGCCAGAAAATCTTTTAGATCTTTCTCACTTTGAGCTTCCCTTACCTTCTTCCATGTATTGTGCTGTGTTTTCCCAAAGATCATGCAGTGATCAAATACCAGCTCCCAAGGAAACTCTTGTCAGTTTAATTAGAAAAGAGAAATAGTTAATTTCTCATTTGTTCTCCAGGAAGTCATTTCTAGTTCCCATATCCATCTTGTTTCTCTCTTCTACTAAGTTCTCTTTTGTCCTGGTTTAGAGAAGGAATGGAGATGGAAATAGGGAAAGAGAGTTTAGGCACTTTTTCTCTGTAGTTTCTTTCTTGGAATGAATTCTGGTGCAAGTACAAGGAAGAAAGTCAAGGTAAATTGCTTCTCCACTTCTTTCTCTGATGCATTTACTCTTTGTGCCTTATACTTTCTCTCTAGAGCTCTAGTAGGCCTGCTGGGGTTCACCATACCATAGCAGCTTGAAAGAAATGAATCAGAGAGGGATTCATTGGAGGGATGGTTTGGCACAGTGAGTGCCTGCTGACAACTCTAGGACTCTGTGTAGTCCAAAAAATATGTGAAAAAGGAGTGAACATTTTTCTCTGCATCCACGAGAAAGAAAGGGCACAGAATGTAGGCAAGAAAAGGAGGCTCAATAGACTTGTAGGAGGATTATCATTCTCTTAACCAGGCTTAGGAATCCCCTAGGGAAGATGAGGGGAGATGAGAAGAGAATGCTGCTACATCTCAGTATATTATCAACATAGTAGGGAAACAGATCTCCAAGGATACTGGCTCCCAAGAATGAGACCAGTTAAGATTCAAAGTGGACCCCTTCTATTTCAATGTCATGGTGGCATTTATTTAAGTCTCCCAGCTTAGCAACAACCAAGGAGGAGAAAGAGGACAAAGAGAAAGCAATCTTGAATAGTACTGCATTTTCATTTTGGTACATTTCAGTTTGTGTTTTGTTTAACAGACTGAAATAAAATGATATCCTGTTCCCCAATTGCTCTTCAAGCATGTAGCTTTAGATTTATTACTGGATAATTTTAGAGATGTGCTTATTTTTGTAAAAGAATAAACATGAAGCCAGCCTGCAAACCTATGAGAAGCTAATGCACTTTGTGTAGGTAAGCAATTTAGAAAGTATTATGTAGGTACATAATTGAAAGGAAAGGTAAAAAAGCACCATAGGCAGCTAAAAATAAATGATCTTCTCTATCATTTTAGAGATGTGATGATTAAGTACTTGCATACTTCACTTTGTCTTATCAGCAAATACACAGCTGCAATAAAAAAAACTCCATCTACCCTATCAATGGGATCTGAAAGAACTGAATCTTGTGTCCACTTGGTTAAAGCTTTCCTTCTCTAAACATCAGGATGATTTAAGAGAAATATACATCTAGGCTCAGCTCTAATAGTCCCTTGCCATTCACTTGATAAAATTCACTATGGGTTTCAAGTTCATGCAATGCCTGGTTAAAATATGGCAGTTCTACTATTGTTACCTTATCTTACTTTAATTTCTCTGGGACATAAACTTACATTTCTTCAAGATTTGAATATAAAATGCTGTCTAGTTTTGGGTCACTTGGACTTTGTTGATTCTTAGTACCTAAAATAATCTAAGCTTTCCCAGCTTTAAATTTCTGTGACTGTGTGATTCTTTAGGTTTCAAAACCATTTATCTTAGGAAAAAAATTACACTTCATTTTCATAGTAAAATATCCCAAAGTGTCATTTTATAATTAACATCAAATTGACTCATTAATTCATTCTCCTATGCCAGTAGTTTGGGAATAAAATTTCACAACTGAAACAGAAATGGCTCTGCTTTTTCAAGGATTAGCAGCTTAAAGAGAATGCTTATGTTGTGGAAAGTGCTTATAGAGTCTAGAAGGCTAATATAAATATTTAATAGCACAGAAAATCATATTGAATGATGAGAAGTTTTATATACATACACATGTAGAGAAGTATATGTATATATATGTATAACTGTGCAGATATAGACATACATATTTATTTTATGGCTTCATTGGCATGCACTGTGGAAATTAGAAGGTAGAAGTTGTTACCATATTTTTTTTCATGCTACTTAGCCCAAACTGGTGGCTTCATATATTCCTGAATATCATGATAGTTAAGAGCTAAAAAGTGAAATGAATTACCAAATTCAATACTGTAGGCCTTAGTGGTCATTTGTTGTCTTTTGGCTGCCTAGCATCCATTTTTCCTAGTTTTGGTAACAGTACTCTAAATTTCTCTCAAGGGATCACCGTTCCCCCATTTTCTGTCCTTAGGCTTTGGGTGACCTATAGCATTGAGTCCAAAGATAGGCATGTGACTCAGTACAGGCCAATCATCATACCTAATTCCTATGATTAAATTGATTGGTTTAGAAATGGGCAGGTGACTTGATTTAGGACAGTATTAGTCAAGTCCAGGAACTCTGATTAAACTATTAAAAACACATTTGTTCTTTATTTTATTAATTTAATTTAATTGTTATTTTACTGTTTTCTTTCTTGACTGCAATCTGAAACTGCTATCAGATATCTTGCCGACACATTGAGACTTTGAGTGAAGTCTGCATGGAAGAGAATGGAACTGAGAGATGGAAAGATACTGAGTCCCAGTGACATCTGTTGAGATGCTGCATCACACTGGACTGGATATGAAGATGGAGCTACCCCTGTGCTTTTCAGATACCTAAGTCAATAAATCCCCTTGCTTGCTTAGATAAGTTTGAGTTAGGTTTTCTGTTACCGGCAGCAAGAGAGTACTATATTGGATATTTCCCATCTGCTCTCCAGATTCAAGCTACTCTTTTCCACTTTTCTCTGTGCCCCAAGGCCTGACCTATGTGCACTGCATCAAAGAGCTCATTGGCCCTCTGGCTTCTGATTGTGTTCAGCCAAAGGAAATCTCTCTAGAGAGTGAGGTCAGCACATTTATTCTCTAGGGCAGGGGTGGGGAACCTGTGGCCTCAAGGCCACATGTGGACATCTAGGTCCTTAAGTGTGGCCTTTTGACTGAATCTAGATTTTACAGAACACATCTTTTTATTTTTATTAATACATTTTTGTTTATCTTTTGTATTTTTATTTTATTTTTAAAATGAACATATTTAAAATACCAAAGAATAAAATGAGTCTCAACAAAATCTGATCCTCCCAGATTGACTGGCACAATGAGAACATTGGTAAGCCCTAAGGGCTAAATTGACTGCTGCTTGGCTCATAACTTAGTTGACTAGTGGCCCCACCTGACTGGTGGCGCTACCACATAAGACTGGTTTGTGAGACGTTATGGGGTTGAGTATGCCCGTCTTCAGTTTTTGACAATGGTACACTGTGTTTCTGTTTGAAGTGGAATTTGTGAATAGTTGTACACCTCAATGGTATTTTTTAATTCTCTCTGCTAACAGCCCATCATATCAAAGAATACCAAGAGAATGCTGAAAGAAGAAAACATATTTTTTTTTAATGAGGATTTGGAATTGTAATATTATCTTGTTTCTGTTAAAGATAGAATGATTTGCTTGCTTTGTGATACTGCAATATCAAGATTAAAGAAAGTCAATGCTCATTAGCATTGTAACACTCATAAGGACCACAAATAATTTAAATTAGAGGGAGAGGCCCAAAAGGTTGTAGTGAAGAAATTAAAAGATGAAAAGTAAAAGCAAAAATAATTCTTTCAAGCAGCCAGAAGATCTGGAAATAATGCCACTGAAGCAACTTATAAAGTAGCTCATATACTCGGAAAAAAGTGAAGCTATTCAGTGATGTAGAAATTGTGAAAGAATGCATTGTTGAAGTTGTAGGACACTTAGACCCTGATAATGTTTCAAAGTGCAAATGACTGCCTCTTTCAAGGAGAACCATAACTGATTGGCAGCATAAATTAGTCTTTAACTTAACAGAACAACTTCATGCAATACTTCAAAAGGAAAACATAAATTGTTAAATTGCTTTGATTGAATCAACTGATTCCCTGACTCAACACAGGGTTTATATTTCATTTGGGTCATAACAGAAGATTTTCTTTGCTATGAATAGTTACTTGCTTTTGGCACTTTTGCAAACAGAACACAGGGAACAGATATCTTCAACAACTTTCAAGATAAATGTCATGAGTTGTACTGAATTTGGTAAATTTAGTGAGTGTATGTACAGATGGTACACCTTCCATGACAGGAAAACATAAAGGGTTTATTGCACAGATAAAAAAAGTATTAACAGATCCAGATGCTCTCGTTTCTTTTGATTGTATGTTGCATCAGCAAAATTGCTGTGCTAAAGCTACTATTTTAAGTGACACTTTGCAACAAGCTGTAAGGATTGTTAACTATATTCATGCAAATGCAAATGCAACATGGCATCCACAGTTTTGTAACATGTGAAGTTGAAGGATGAGGTATTTAGTGTGGATTTGCTTTATCATTCTAAACTGTGTTGGCTATTGGAGGGGCAGGGGTTAGCCAAAATTGTATCTCTGTGAGAACAGATAGTTAAATTTTGAAGAACAGAATCAGCAATGTGAATTATTGAAAGATGATTTCTATAGGCATGTAGCATTTCCGTGTTACACATTGTCAAATCAAAAGGACTTGAATATTTCTTTGCAAGGTGAAACTAAGACTATACATGACATATTGCAAAAAATCCAAGCATTTCAAAAAAAGCTTTTTTCAAAACACTTCTTCAAAAGGAAATTTCAGGTAAACATTTTCCCCAGTTAGCAAAGGTCATTGATGAGCAGGATGATACATGTGAATCATTTGAATAATATGCAGCTGTTATATAGACCTATTAATTGGAGAATATAATGAAAGTTTCACTGACTTTAAGAATCATTATATAACACTCAAATTAGCATTTCAGTCTCACCTAGTTAGTTGGTATCACCAAGGCACCTAAAGAACTACAGATGGAATTGATTGAGCACTCAGTAGGTGACATTTTAAAGTCATTGATGTTAAGAAAGATCCAGTTGAAATATGGAAAAATGCAGAATACTCAAACCTTTGCCAACATACCCGAAAAATGCTTTCCTGCTTTTCAGCCACTTATTGCTGCAAATCTACATTTTCCTACCTATTCCAAATCAAGACGCCCTTAAGTTTACAAATGATTGATGCCCATCTAAAGGATCAACTGAAACTGTGGATCTCTATGCTGCAACCAAATATTGAAATGCTTTCCAACAAAAAGCAGACACAACAAAGTCATTAAAAGGTTAGTTACCTTTAAAATTAACAAATAGTTTCATTTTTTGAAATTATTAAGTACATGTTAGTAGGTTTTTACAAAATGTAGATTTTTAAGGATATCTAATTGAAATTTCTTAAATGTGGCCTTATTTGATTATAGCTAAATTAATGTGGTCTTCCATCTTGAAAAGTTTCCCCATCCCTGGTTTATACCTGGTTTTATGTTCGCATGTATTTTAATGGAATTTTTAATTAATCTTTTTTTCTTCAAAAGAAATACATTCTGTAGCTTTGATAGGGACTGGCTTATTTGGCAAATCTGTCACCCTGGCCAGACAGTACCAGTAGCTGTTTCCCATGGCGGTTACAGTGGCTGTCATAAGTTGTGAAAGTGGCACTCTGGTTTATACATCAGTCTCCATGAACCTGGTTAAGATGGTTCTGCTCTGAGGCACAATCCACCTTTGATGGATGAGGGTGAAACTGCCAGTCTGGTAGGTCAAAAGTGGTCAAATATCAGCATTTTTCTTCTCAAGTAACTTGAAATATACCCAGGCTTCTTTTTCTTCAAGAAGGAGAGCCTGACCTACACCCATAGGAAGGCATCAAAATAGAGACTTCTTGGCAGGCAACTAACCTTTGCTAATGTTATCCTGACTAATACCATTCAGTCATATTAGAATTAACAAGTAAAAGCTTTTTTCCTAAATAAAAATATTAAAAGAATATGATTTTTAAAAAGCAACTATTGAACATATGTTAGTCCAATATAAATAAATTTTAAAGTCCAGAAGGAATATAAAATTAAACAAAAGTGAGACACTGTTTTGGGGAATTATTTGGCCTTTAATCAGGGAGAGTTTCTTCTTGATAGGCCAGAAATTAATCAATCAAGATTTTGTATAAGGCAGTTCAGGAAAGATTCAGAACTCCCAGAAACAGATATCAGTCAGAATGGTTTTTCAATAAAGTCCCTTTCGTTTTCTAGTCAAGAAAAAATTAAGAAGTGATCAAATGTTATCCACATTATTTGCACAGCCTTTTCTTGTGAAAGTCCTTTCTTTTTATTGTTTCAAATTTCCCAACAGGGATGAACTGCCATGCATATCTAATTGTAAGAGAGGCAGCCACAGAAGGGTTTGTCCATAGTTACTGCTTCCTTGGAGCTGAGGAAATCTGCCACCCTCTTTCATACCAAACAATATTGTTAGTGACAATATCCAAATGCTATTTTTCTGGTGTCTTTAGGGGCACTGAAATGTGCATTCTACTGTCCTTCATGAAACATTTTTCAGTAGCAAGCATGACAGAATCCTTATGATGTCAGGCAAGATATGAAGAATCTGAAGAATACCTCATGTTCTTGTTAGTTCACATTTAATGTTTACAATTTATCTCTTTGGAGGGAAACACCCCAAACCTGTGTGCTGTAGCTCCATGTCCTCTTTGTTTGCAGATGAAAGAAGGATTCAGGCCAATGAACCTGGCCTGAGAAACAAAATATTCCAATACTTCCATGATGTGACACCAGAAGCCTGAGGTTACAGAAGTAGATACATATTCACAAAAGAAAAAGTGTGATACGATGGATCTGTGAAAAAGAGCTGAGTAAAGTTATCATAAATAGTAAAATATTCCTGAGGTCCTGTGATACTAAAGTTATTCATTTTTCATTTTTTTAATTATAATTTATAAGAATCTGTATTCTTTTGGATAGAGGCTTCTAAAAAAGAATCTATTATATGTAAGGTTCTGTATTAATATAAATAATTACTATTTATAGAGCACTACAATAGGTATTTTACACACATTATCTCAAAATATTATGTATAAAGTATTATTACCCCACTTTACAGAAGAAAAATAGGAAGATAAAGAGGTTAAAAACCTTGTTTAAGTTCATAAGTGGCAGTACTGAGATTTGAATTTACATCTGACTATTTTCTTTCTATTACAACACAAGAACCACTTAAAAACATTTGAAGATTGAAGGGATATAAATATTTAGGGTATTGAACGCTACACAAATCAATACTCTGTTAAAGTAAATATGAATCATTTTTAAGTTAGCCACCTAAATTTCATTTGGGGTCAAAAGCATAAATATTAAAGTGTTTTTTTCTGTTGATAGTAATATTTCCCAGTCTCATCTGTAGCCCTTGTCAATGGCTAACATCATGATAAATTTTATGGGGGTAACAGAAAAACTATCATTGTTTTGGTCAGTGTGGAAATTTTCCTGCTGGCTCTTCTGTGTCAGGCTTTGGCAATAGAGTTAACTCTCAAGTCTAAGAGGTCTGGAGTCTGCAGAATACTCAACACTGGATTCTTTTCTACATGTTTGCCAAACAATAGCTAGGAATTACAGCTACTCAGTTCTATTTTGACTTGCATGGTAAGGGACTTGACCATGATCATTTTATAAAAACATTTGGTTAGTAATTTACTTATACAATAAACTCTTATTGAGCACCTACCTATTAATATAATGTACAGGATGGGGAATTTTGTTTATTTCTTTCAATATAGTCTTACATAACCAAAGAACATAAAATCAATACTAGTTTGCATATCTACCTTGGGTAACTATGGTGTGTTTTGGACCATTTCTATGATTCAGTTTGCATATATGCTCTAAGGAAGACAAGTGAAGAGTATCTATAACTATTTCCAAGTCTTCTAGATACCTCAGACCTTACTGGGGGTTTATGTGCCTTTTTTCACTATTTTTAACAGTAGTCCCATGCATACCCCTTACATATAGTTTGTGTTAAAATAATACTATAATACATTTCTTAAAT